ACCACACTTTAACCACAATCTTGTAAAAATGGTAAAAGGCGTACTCAGCATTTTGAACCAGCACCTAGTTGTCATCGAAATGACACGTTGCAGTGCATCAGGATTGTGAAAATTTATTGTGAACTGTTAATTACGGCCATAAATATCGGATAATTTAAGCAAATGAAACGTACTTTACTGCACGATGGAGAAGTGTGTTGAATTTAGGGCTGTGAAAATTTCGTGGTACTCATATGATTTTATAGACAGAAAGGAAAGTGAGCTGATTATTTGGTAAGATAACATTGGAATGACAACCTTTTAATTGAAAGGTACTGAATGTCGTAGCACTTATTCATTTCATTTCCCAGGTTAAAATGGTAACTTCTGCGGTCGCGCAGCTTATATAAAGGCTTTCGTGAAGTATAAACAGAGGATCCGCACTTGAAAAATGGAATATTTGTGATATTATAAATGCACCCATTGAAATAAATATTTCGTAAGGGCTTAAACGCCACTCTTGCTCGTCTAAAGAATGGTGGTAAGGTGATTAATGATGTTAATTTAGATGTTACATGCGTAAAAGGCAAGAATAACGCCCGATTGAAGTTAGGTATAGTGAGGTGCTACTACTGTTTGTTAGTAATAATTTTCCTTAGTCGACTGTGAAGAGGCAATATCTGCAATGAAAGCATATGTATTAAGGTGCAGTGTGTAACGACGACAGAGTAATCAATGAAGCTAAATGTCGTCGTCCTCCAATATATATATATGCGTATAAGAGCGACACACGGGTCACAAAAGAAGCTCATCATCTGTCACCTCGGTGATTACATGTGAAGGAAATGGTCCAACTTAAAAGTTGATAACCCCCATTATAATTGAAGGCTGTTTTTAAGCCATATCAGATAAAAATATCCTGTTCAATTAGTTTTATCATTACGCACTATATTTCTTTGGTACATCAGCTTTATTTTTTGTGGAAACAACTGTATTTTCGGAACAGTTGGCTCGAATTCATTCGGATATTCACGTTCCATGGGTGGTGATACGTCATACTTTGCTCTTCTTATATTTATAATCCTAGCAATTTTTGGTTTTTATTTGTTTATTTTCTCAAAACTCTAAACATCACTTCAGCTCTGTTATAACTGTTAATTTTGTCTTTCCACTTGCACAACAGAACATTAGATTCAATAATCTATAACATGCTAAAAATTCCAAACTGAATCGGCAATAATGTCTGAAACAAACTCACTGTTATTATTATTGCTACTGCGTAACGTCAACTACCCCGAATCATGCTGATGTTGCGAGACTCAACTTTAGCTGCCTAGACGGCAATGTGAGAGGGTTGAGAAGAAAAGAAGGTGGACTCAGAAACCTCCGGTCACACCTAGACCTTAAAATAATCATTGCCACTGGAACCTGACTAACCTCACTATCACCGACAATGAAATCACTTAAAGTGATATGGTCCTGGTCAGGAGAGGCAGGGATAACAAGAAAAGTGGAGAGGGTTGCCAAATGCCTTGATAGGCAACTAAAATGTGTGCGCGCAACGGACCCACCACTTATTGAACTCCCAGACTCCATATGGTGTCATTTCACCGTAGGCCACACCAAGTATTTACTTGGTGGCATCTACCGATCTCCCACCTGTGGGGCAGAGCACAATCAGCTGCTGCTCAGCACTATCACAGGGGTACGAGATTTGGGCTATGACCAAATCACCATAGCTAGAGATTTCAATGCCCCATCAGAGAACCCTGGCTGCGGGTATGCTAAGGGAAAATTTGGCCGAAATCTACTGCAGACTATTCGGGACATGGGACTGACTGAGAATGTTGGAGACGACACTAGGTGGGGCCCTAGTGGAAAGTCATCAAAACTAGACTACATTCTAACTAGTGACCAACTACACGTCGGAAAGGTCCAGATCATGACTCCTCTAGGAAGTAGTGACCATACAGTCATAGGTTTCGATCTCCTTCTCCGTGAGCATCTGTAGTGAGACGTTACGCGACCATGTCTGTGTTACAGCAAGGCTAACTATGCTGAAATGTGGAGGCTCTTGTCCGACGCCGACTGGACCTTAGCATGGGATAAGCTATCTGTGGATGAACACTGGGAGGTGGTAAAAAAGATTATTCATACAGTAATCTCGGATATTATCCCTTTAGTCACAACACAGCCAAAAAGAAAGTCATCATGGTTAAAGAGAGGCACACAACGTATTCTGTAAGCAAAGCGGGATGCTAGGTTTGCGTGGCGCGTATCTAAGGGTCAAATCGACCACGATGCATACCTGGAACTCAGGAACCGGTGCAATGCAAGAGTCAGGAGGGACAGGAGGTCATTCCAGGCTAACCTTGCTAAAAAACTCCTAGCAAACCTCAAAAACTTGTACCGATTCATGTCGGAAAGAAAACCAACCAACCAGGAGGCATGTGCCTTAGTAGGCCCAAACGGTCAATATCTCACTAGTCTGGAGATGTCTGAAACATTCACTTTAGCCTTCGCCAAACGGCTAAACAGCAGTGTGGGTATTACTGTTATGGACCAAAATGGTGGCATCACTATTTCACTGGAGGAAGACCTAATGACTACTCCCCAAATAAACCCTGCAATAGTACTAAGAAGGCTACAGCGACTCACACCTGGGAAGTCCCCAGGTTGTGACGACATCAGGCCATCTGTTCTGGGACAGTGCGCCGAAGCTCTCTGTAGGCCCTTATGCGACTTAGTCCAACACTCCATGGAATCGAGGAAACTGCCAAGGGAGTGGAAAAGAAGCATCCTATCTCCGATCTTCAAGGGTGGGGATAGGCAAAATGCCACTAGTTATAGACCAGTAGCTCTACTTCCAGTGGTATGAAAGTACTGGGAAGTATTATTGATGATCACATCACGGAGCGCCTCGATAGGATCAATAGACTCCATGAAGCCCAACAAGGTTTCACGAAGGGCTGATCATGTGTAACAAAGCTACTATCAGCTTGGGACGATTGGACATCATGCTGGGATATGAATGTTCCAGTCCATTTAGCCATCGTCTGTAGCCTTTAAGAGAAGGCTGAACAATCATGCAGTGACACAAGGAATGTGTCCAGATGGCCTATCCCATTAGAATCCCATAGACCATTCAGGGGTAGACAACTAAATTCGCCGTTTATTTCTTTACATTCTCCATCGTCTTACTCCCCTGAAAACTCCAACAACTACACCTACACCTATTATAATGATTATTATTACTGATATATTCATATATATAGACTTCAAATATAATTAGCTGTCTGTCTTTGCGTTTTCTTTATTTCTTTTTCTGTCTTTTAGTCTGAATAAACTACACTAATTATATCTATTATTATTGTCATTATTATTATCTCTTTTCTTTTGACGACGATACTGGAGAACTAACTGGTGAAAGGATCGATTCCATTCACAGTAGTAACAAAGTCTTAACACACCGCATACTATAAACAACATATAATTAATCCCAGCACTAATCCTTTTGGAGTCAACCAAAGCTGCGACAGTCGAGTGGCGGGACGAGCTACGCAGAATTTTACCGAAGGTCAAAAACCTTCACCTCAGAATCAAGAAGCGAGCACAAAGAAATCGAATTGGTTTATACTAGCTCGTAAAAAAGATATTGGATATTGGATTCATTATTCTCTTTTTGTACTTTCAGTATTTTTGACTGTATACCGTGAATGTGGACAAATTCCTGTGGTTAATTTTATTTATGTTTTGATCAAATCAGATGCTGCATTGCAACAAATGCTGAGAATACCATTTCCTTTTATGGGTTCTTTTTTTGTAATAAAGTAGATTATTATCACTATGCGTCGGTAAAACAGTTGTTAGGACTCTCGCCGACCACGCACATGGTCCAGGGTTCAATACTCGGCCGAAGCACATCTGATATCTATGATCGGCCTGCAAAATTTGGGCGACCGATATCACATGCTGAAAATTCCATAAGTGTACGGAAAATCAAGCTGTAATCAAAAATAAAAAAATAAAATGAAAGGCTTCGTTAACGTAGCGTGTTATCGCAAAGCCCTTCACAGTCAATTCGTAAGAAACGCAGAATATTAGACTAGAGCAATGTCGAAGGAGAAAATATTGCACGTTTCAGCACAACTCAAGAAATGCAGTCACTGATAACCACCAAAACGACTAACTTGTCTCGATACAGTGTGCGACGAATAAAACATTGTGTTTGCATAAAAAACAGCGAGACAATGTCAGGATGTTGCTTTTATATTTACCACAGTTGTCTGCCACCACACATAACACAACCACTCAAAACCGTACTCGATAGAACATAGTGATAGCATATCAAAATTGCTCACTACTGTTCTTGTCCAAGAAAGACGAGGAAAACAGAAGCGAGGAAAATTTAAAACGTGACAGTATTTATCAGCAACCGATGTTATCTCATATTACTACTTTTTAACATGGCACTATTTCATATTGACTATTTTTAAACTACGCGCTTCTCCTTCGGACGCATCTGATTGGTCGGTGAAGATTTGTGAAAGTCTGTATTAGTCAAATTCGTTACAGGCCGCTATGGTAACTCTAAACAACAGGAAACCAAAACGAAACGACCTACGAACGCATAAATGACCTTGAGCAACCGATCAGGTGACTTTTTTCCAGCAATAGGTTTTAGGGATATGTGACACCAGTCTCCAGAAAAGACATATTGAGGCGACCCCTAAGCGCAGGGCATGTGTATTATTGCCTATTGTCTAGCGCTTAGTGCTGCCTGGGACGACTATTGTCGTTTTTTTGAGCCTTCTGATTGGTCCTTGACGAGGTCATTTGTGCGTTGGTAGGTCGTTTCGTTTTGGGTTCCTATTGTTTAGAGTTTCCTGGTTTACAGTCAAAATTTATATTTATATAATAATTCATTGCATTCAACTGAAGGATAAAGTGTGTGTAGGATTTCGAAAGTCATCCGAGTAACGCATCCTGCGTATTAGCCGCAATTTTATATTAACGATAATCTACCAATCACAATACGTATTAGTGACCTACAGGTGCATTACATGCACCCAGCACGTCGGTTATGTGGCTTAGTGTTTGTTTTGGTTTAATTTTGTGTTTTTGATTTGCCAACTCGGAGTTGATGTCATCATCAGTGAACGCTCATATCTTCTGTTCTGAAAAGAGAAGTCTTTGAAATGTTGAAAGATGGTAGGCTTCATTGTGGTATTAATCCCTCGATTTGCACTGCAGACCTTTTTTCAAGTGAATAAAGAAAGTATGTTGGAAAGACTTGCTTTAATAAGGAGTTACACTGTTTCACAATTCAATGCGAGTAATGTACTGCATAGTTCGATTTGATCAGGACGAACTCGAGTTCAGTTTAAATAATCAAATTAACTGTGTCTTCGTTCGCATAGTTGTTTTTAGTTGGGATAAACCGGCCCATAATTTATTGAGATGCTTGTAGCGCTGTTCTGTTACTTCGGGTTTGCCCAAATAACATCTAGTTATTGTGACAACAAAGATAGGGACAACTCAGCGTTCCAGTATTTAAACGCAGACACATAATGCACTAATGAAATGAGAGGAAGAGTACAAGTAAAGGTCACCACATTGTGATGCGCAGAAAGATATGGGCAGTTAGTGATTCCATAAACTAGTACCGTGTTAAGGTCCAGTTACTCTTCTTTGTGATTCAAGATAATATTATATCATATAGGGTACCAAACGATCGCATATCATTATGGACGAATAGCAAGTATTCATGACACACTTCAAGTATTTTATGTTTTTCTAACATAGATCCAGTTACATCAGACCAATTTAGTTTACTTGTTCTCGTTTTTCAGATAGAATTGTTGAAAGAATTGTGATTAACTAACAATGCATTCAGTGATTACTAATAAAGTAATTTGTGTTAGGTGTTAAAATTAGTTATATAGTCTATTACTTGTAAAGCTGCTGTTGCTTGGAGGCCGTGTGAACCTTTGGTGATAGAAGAGGTTGAAGTTTCACCCCCAATGTACGGTGAAGTACGGATTAAGGTGTATTCCTCTGGAGTTTGCCATACAGATGCATACTGTTTGAATGGTCATGATCCAGAAGGTGTTTTTCCTACCATACTTGGCCATGAAGGTGCGGGTGTTGTAGAAAGTGTTGGTGAAGGTGTAACATCACTTTCTCCTGGTGATCATGTTATTCCTTTGTACATTCCACAGTGTAATGAATGCAAATTTTGTTTTTCAAAAAAGACAAATTTATGCTCAAAAATAAGGTAGGACATTTCAATGAACTTCATACTTTTAGAGAAACACAGGGAGCTGGCCTCATGCCAGACGGTTCAGTTCGTTTTAAATGTCGGGGTCAACAAATACATCACTTTATGGGTTGTAGTACTTTTAGTGAGTACACAGTACTGCCTGAAATAAGTGTAGCGAAGATAGAGAAGAATGCACCGTTGGATAAAGTCGGTCTTCTGGGATGCGGTATAAGCACAGGATATGGAGCTGTTTTGAATACTGCCAGTAATACCTTTCGTAATCTTCTGCTAATGTTTAGATGTTGAAAAAGGAAGTGTGTGCGCTGTTTGGGGGCTTGGAACAGTTGGGTTAGCGACTATAATGGGATGCAAGAAAGCTGGTGCCAGGCGAATAATTGGGGTAGACGTTAATGAAGACAAGTTCGAATTAGCTCTTTCATTCGGAGCTACAGAATGTATTAATCCTGCGAAGCAGTTGAAGCCAATACAGAATGTGAGTAGTAAGAAGTTTCATTTGAATTATTTAGCCATAAGCTATCCCACTGCATATTCATTGTTTCATTTTCCCTTTCAAGTGAGTATTTCTCATAGGTATCTCATAATTTCAACTAATGGTAAAGTTCAGTGTTGTGTGGAACTGATATTCAGAGGCTGAATTTTATAACAGGTTCGTAACATTCCACTAGTGCAGACTGAAGTAACATTTGCAAATGATTAAATTAACCAACTGAGAGATTATAATCAAATCAAAAACAGACTTACTGTCTAGGATGTTTTGCGAAGTCTTGACTGATTCCCCATGGTTGATCCAGACTTGTTCGGAACATTTTATAGGCATCCTTAGGTTTTATCAGTATTACATACGACATGAGACTTACACTACTTCCAGCAGTTTATGAATTTTACGTCCACTTGTCCTACTAGATTTATCACCTTCCAGGCTTTGTCCCCCTTTTTAGTACTTTCAATATTAATTTATACGGTATTTGCAGTTTCTGTGAGTTATATTTTGGTGACTGCTTGTAGTTATTCGTCTTAACCTTCTTTTGTGCAGTGTCACTTGAATTGTATACAAATAACAATCAATACAACATAGTAACAGTGTCATTATTGAGAATTCAAACCTGTGATTATGATCTCCTTAAGTAGAACGCAAAAATTAATTATCTGTATGGTATGTAGTTTGGAGAAAATTATCACCATGTAAAATAAGGTTGTAAAAACGTAGTTCTTGAACTGTATTTGAGAATTATACGCATAATAGAATTAAAATACCAATGTGATAGTAAGCGAAGCTCTAAGAAAAACTGCTAACTTATCTGGTATTTCTGCCATTCTAAGCAAAGTCATAGCCTTTTTGTTTCCCCCGTGCGGTAAAGTACCGATAAGCATTAAAGTGTATGTGAAGGGTTACCTGATGGCTGCCTCCAATTACCCAACATAAATCTACAGTTCACCACTATGACAAGCACCCTACTTTACTGGTACAAATTAGTTAACACCGAGAACTTTCCAGTGGCCAATTAACACTGGTCGGTATTTTCACTTTTTATATACTTATGACTTTCTTAAAATTCAGAATTCTTTTTGTCTCAACACCTGTCCGTTTAAAGCGTTATCTGTGTATTTCCTAGAGCTTCCAAAAATTCTTTTTGGACAGGGCAGTGTTATGGAGAAAAAATCATTAATCTTGACTTTTATTAGAAGACTAAAATTGTATTGTTTGAAATTTCAAATCTGAGGTGTAAGCTGCATAATAACAGTTCACATAATCGTAAGGATCAATCGTTGAAGACTAGTGATATGGTTGAAAGTTCTTCACAACAAGGCTGATGTATGTACCCCTGGTCCTCAAAACTAGCAATCACTGATGTTTATTAAATTATTCACTCTTCAATACTTATTTGTCCATCAAAATATTCTGTCTGAGTTTTCTTGTGTATTTTTAAATCTGACAACTTGAATTTATACACATCCGTTCAAAGTACCACATGCATTCATTAGTTAGTCACTTCGAGACTTATATTGAGTGAATGTCAAACAATGAGCAATAAATATAAGTTTGAAAAATAGTGAATTCGATAAAATAAGTCAATATTCAGTGAGATTGATGCTTCAGTGCCATTGGTTACAAAAGTTCTAAAGATGTCTTTAAATTCACGTTGAGTGTTTCAGTGATTGTCACACTATGCAGCAAATAAACGTATAACACACTGGTTCGCGGTAACTAAGGGCTCTCAGCAGCCAATGGAATATTTTCAGTGAATCCAGCTAGGCTCTTTTATTCATAGCGTTTGTTTGTTTAATTTTCTTCGGCGCCCAATTGTTGTGGAACTATCCAGCCAAGTCTTGATCACAGTTTGTATTAGTTGTAATTATCGTTTAGAAGAAAACCTTTTTGGTATTTCATTTCTTTGATCCGATATTATTTGCTTTAAGAAAAAATCGTAACATAATGTTATAGGACTTTGAAGTTACCTTTCTTTGTTTTTAAATATTTCACCGTTTATCTTGTAGATTGTAACCGAAATAACTGATGGAGGCTGCGATTATACTTTTGAATGTGTAGGAAATGTGGAAACTATGAGGCAGGCTTTGGAGTCTTGCCATAAAGGCTGGGGTGTCTCAGTTATAATTGGTGTTGCAAAGGCTGGGACTGAGATTTCGACTCGGCCATTCCAACTTGTAACAGGACGTACATGGAAAGGTTCAGCTTTTGGAGGTTTGTTGTATATCACAACTTTAGTTAATTTGTAAAGCTAATCCCTCTAATTTGAAACAAACTTTCGAAACTCAGTCCAGGAAGAACAAATATTGTGATTAGCCTGTGCCCTGTCTTGATTATATCTCCTTTCAATTAACGAACACCGTTTGCAAAGTAAATTACTTATGTTTCACACCAGTACATTGAACAGGTTAAGCCAGTTTGTCTGACTTACCTACTGACTGACCGGTTTCAACGTAGAACTTTACACAGATGTGTAGCAGTTCGAGATGCCACATCACAGAGTGAATGCATCTGAACCATCATTGACAACGACGATTTTGAACTATATCACCGATTGTCTCCAGCCACTGGTTTTTAACACCCGAGGAACCCAACCAGGAAGTGTACACATCTCTACGTGGCTGGCTGGCTTAAACTAATTGCTATGGATTTCGTTGACTGATGAAGCCATGTTTTGGTTTGACCACCGCTAGCTCTTTTTTAGCCTTATCCTATGCCAGCTAACATTGCCCGTCGAGGAAGACGATAAGTGTGCTTGCATAACATGTGTCCTAACCATCTCAATCGGTGTAACTTCACAACCTCGTCGATTGGTTTCCTCTCGTTACCTAGTACTCGATGTCTAACGCCAATATTGCTTACCCTATTATGCTACGTAACACATTTAATCTTTGGTTGCTAGTCTTCGCTTCTGAGATTAGCAGCCTTAGCCTGCTTCAGGGTGTTACTGTGTTATAGCACATTGCAAAGATTATGTTTACTAGTGGGTGCAAGCAGCCATTTTTCAGTATTAGAATTACTTGCTACTCGCAACACAGAGCTCGTAATTCTTATACGAGTTGAACGTTTATTACGTGTAAGTTAGAGTGTCCTTGGTTTTTCTTGACTTATATTGCTAGTCGTATGGGTTGGAGTATCTTGTTTGCAGTTTTGAGCTGCCTTTGGGAGTACGCTTCATGTGTTTCCAACAGGACAGTGTGTAGGGTTGGGTCAGGACAACGGTTCATATAGCAAGCACCAATCATTATCAACGGAAGAAATTCAGAAGTCACTTCTTGCACTTATCGAAGCAGCTACAGACGGCAAGGATGAAGATGGCATAGTCCAGATTGGAAAGGCGAAACAGTGTGGAAGCCTGTTGCACTCAGAGTAAGCACCAAGATCTGAGGATGAAATGGCACTTTATTGAGTCTGGGAGTTCAGTGAGTGGTGGGGCGGTTGCTCATACGCATCTCCCATACTCAATAAAGTGCCATTTCATCCTCAGATCCTGTTCCTTACTCTGAGTGCAGCAGTTTTCCACACTGATTGTTTCGCCTTTCCAATTTGGGCTATGCCATCTTCATCCTTGCCGTCTGTAGCTGCTTCGATAAGTGCAAGAAGTGACTTCTGAATTTCTTCCGTTGATAACGATTGGTGTTGTTATTGATGGTTAGGTATCATCACCCCTGTCTACCCTGTCTTCACTTGAAGTCCTGTCTTCGCTGCCATTTTCACCAACATGTTAGTCTTTGCCTATATATCTTCCAGTTGTGGTGATCTATATTTAGTGTGTTAATTGACTATACCTTTTTTTAAGCCACATCAATTATTATTATTATAATGTACTAGTTGATGAATTTGTGATTGCTTCTTGTCTGTCTCTCGTTGTGTGTTCTCTCTCTGTGATCGCTATAGCCTTGTGAGTCGAGCGACTTATTACCTATCATGAAATCAGCTAACGAGTATAATTGTGCCGTCTATCAGTCATAGGTAGCCATCGATGGCGAATATTTAGTGTATTTAATTTTTTAGCTTCATAAGTTATAAATAATCTATGGATCCGTGGACGACTAAAAAGTGAAAACATTACTATATTCTGCGCTCATAACTCGCTTACCTGTAACTGGTTTACTTCATGGTACTGTGTGATTACTCACTTGACAATATCTTCTGAATGTCTACTTTCCCTTTAAATAACTTAATAAGATTTTCACAATGAGACTGGTAGGTGAAAGTATCATTGGTAAGCTTCAAGCAGTTCGACAGTGGGAATAACAAATTACGGAGCCTTGTATCTTTTATCAGCACACCCACCTGGAGGGTAAATGAGGTCACAGGATCTTAGTCACTTAAAAAAAACCTCATAGTGTCTAATTCGTAGATGCTGCGGTTGGTTATCTGGTGAATTTTTACTGAAGACATAAGGAATGAATATGAATAAAAGTCCCATAGTCAGAGGCACGTTCTCTTGAAATGAACTGTGATAACTGTATCTCTCAACCACCACCCATTTTCCCCTTGTCATATCTTACGTGTATTCAATTTTTCCCTTATTGAGTTCACTCCTCAATGTGTTAACACCAAGTTCAGTTATTTTATTTTGTGAAAACCTTTGATTATTTCTTTCTATAGGTTGGAAATCTCGTGAGTCGGTGCCTAAACTTGTCAAAGAATATATGTCAGGAGAGATCAAAGTTGATCAATTTATCACTCATCACTTTGATTTAAAAGATATTAATAAGGCTTTTGATTTGATGAAAATGGGCAGGTGGTAAGTTAACAGTAATGTTTCTTTCTCATCGCATTTTTGATACTATGAAGTAAGTACGCATGTGTAGTATCACTTGTTTGTTAATATTTGATTGAACTGTCAACGTACATTGTCTACTTACTTACAATGTGGATTTAGTTCACAGCGTCGGTGGCACAGCGGTTAGGACACTCGCCGACCGTGCACATGGTCCGGGATTGGATCCGCGGCCGACGCACACCTGATATCAATGGTCAGCCTGCTAAATTTGGGCTACCGATATCACATGCTGAAAATTACATACCTATACCGAAATGCTGTATGGAGTCAAGCTATAATGAAATAAATAAACAAAATACGGTTCTGGAATATTTTAAATTCTATCTTATAGTAAGGTGAATGCACTCTGCTCTACAGATTTTGTGCAATTTCATGATTAAGCTGCTGACGAAGTTATTACTAGCATAAATTATTTGTTAGATTTTGTTCAATATGTGTACATTTAACGTTGATCGATAGTCAAAATATCTGCTTGGTATTTACTATAATAACCCAGCACAATAACCAGAATGAAGTACAGCGAAAACAGAATTTCTTGTAAAAAGAAACTCGTATTAATAATGCGACAACTTGCAATTTTCACTTTATTCTTTATATAAAATCGTATGTTTATGACACTGAAGCAGTTAAGTCCTAGTTACCGTGTATTTAGCCATGATTTCATTATTAGTTTCAAGTTTAATCATGGATTGACATCAGCTAGAGAGCCATTGGAAACCAAGGAGTACTGGGCGGCTACCTCAACCTACTCTGTGACTCCCCAGCAGTACTCATTCACAACCTTACCCCGGGGATCGAGCCCAAAACCCTTCGGTTACTAGGCCAAGTGCAGTTGATCATTCAACCGATTGTGTTCGAGTCCAATGGCCCATGAGTTCTAGCCCCTGTCAGTTTGCGATTTTAGTGCGAGTATTTGTCTTCACATTCAACCTGGTGGGGCCCACTTGTCACAACTCATTAGAACTCCAGGAAACAACTTCATTCTGTAACAAGTCACAAGTGAGCATCAGTGTTGAAAGTCAGGTTTTTCGTTGTTTAGAAAATATCAGATTTACTCATTTAGAAAACACAACAAATTAATCAAAGAGATATGTTCCTTTTCAATAAGTTCTTTATCAATGGCTCTGTACTAATATATAGTTTTACATTAAAACTATAGCAATAATATTGTGATGTTAACCAATAAGAATTACGAGGTTTAACATATAGAAGGAGTGGAAATCGCTTATCAAAGTCATCATAGTTAATTTGTAATAGTTAGCAACAGATTGTCAGTAAACAAGAATTGTAAATTTCGAGGAGTAATAGGAGTAAAAACAGAAATGGTCTTCAAGATCAGTTTATTTCTGGGGGTTAGCGACGGGCTACCACACAAATCAATAACTTTTCAGAACACTGTTACTAAGGACAGAATAATGAATAATCGAGCTACTAACAAGTTCTAAAGAAAATAAAAGACAAATTCAGCGAAGAAAGTTTTCTTCATCGACGAAATCATCTTCAGAGGCTGGACAGTCGTATTTACATTTGCCAAAAATGTATAGTAGTCTATTATTGAGTAATAGAGGGTGACATAATTGATATAATTACTCAGAAGTGGCTTTAGAAGTAAAAAATAAAAGTTGTAAATTACGTGGTAATCAACGGCACAAAGTTAGAAATTTGATAAGATTAAAATTGTTATTGAGCGAGAATAGAGGTAGTTGTGTCGATTTAACAATTGTGAAGAGGGTGTGAAAATATACAGAAGGAAAATATGAGGGTGATAATAGTGAATTAATTATTAAAGTAAAAGCAAACTAAAAGTAACACTGAAAATTGAAAAGAAGGAAAGATTAAAATTTTCACAGGGAACGACTAGAGGGGATTAAGACCAAGGTAGTATAAGAGACAGGACAAACTTTTTCTGTGTATGGCGGAGGCGCTGGTGATTCGCTAATACAACCCCGAACTTTGTATACAGAAAAAGTTTGTCCTGTCTCTTATACTACCTTGGTCTTAATCCCCTCTAGTCGTTCCCTGTGAAAATTTTAATCTTTCCTTCTTTTCAATTTTCAGTGTTACTTTTAGTTTGCTTTTACTTTAATAATTAATTCACTATTATCACCCTCATATTTTCTTTCTGTATATTTTCACACCCTCTTCACAATTGTTAAATCGACACAACTACCTCTATTCTCGCTCAATAACAATTTTAATCTTATCAAATTTCTAACTTTGTGCCGTTGATTACCACGTAATTTACAACTTTTATTTTTTACTTCTAAAGCCACTTCTGAGTAATTATATCAATTATGTCACCCTCTATTACTCAATAATAGACTACTATACATTTTTGGCAAATGTAAATACGACTGTCCAGCCTCTGAAGATGATTTCGTCGATGAAGAAAATTTTCTTCGCTGAATACGTTTTTTATTTTCTTCATGACTCAATGGGTATTTTCGGCGATTTGAAGCAGAGCGAGAACCCTGTGACAGTGAGACTAACAAGTTCTTAAAATTCTCCGTAATACTCACCATAACTAAGCAAAAATGTCAAACTAAAGATGAATATTTAAAGATAGGTAGACAAATAGACAGATAGATGAGTGATCTACAGAATCCCCTTTCATTTTAACAATCTAGTGCATTATTTTTACATTACCTTTTAGCATCAAACCAATGATTCATCTCTACAGTTCTCAGTGAAATTTTAAAAGTGTTTCTGGAATCAAATAGTCAGTTTTCCAACGAATTTAATTCGGTTGACTTGATCATTTCATCCTATTTTACGTGTAAATTAACTAGTAACAGTGATGCTTTTTATGTAATCTTTGTACATGGATTGGAAACTGAGATTATGAGAATATGATTTTGATAATATTACATATGGTATAATGATTCATCCATTTTGTTGATGTAATGAGTAAATGGTCATATCGATTCTTTTTCTCATCTTATTATTGTTTACAAAAATGATTCGGAAATTATTCTCTCATAGCGTGCACGGTAAAAATGGACATTTTAATTATTGCATATAGTTTAACTACTCAGACCTCTGCCGTGTTTTCCTGAGAAATACTAGTAATAATAACAATTAAAAGTAGTTAATTCCATTTGCAAAATCCTAACAAGACATTATCCGAAATCTTTCTCGTGGAACACATTTCAAACATCGTAACACCAAACGTACATTTCATTTATATTTACAGATTATGAAAAATAAACATTGGAATAAATGAGAATAGAGAGCTGCACATAAGAAGAAACATTAGTTTGTCAATAACCATTTGGTTTTAAAACTGAGTTACCTAAGCAGGTTCGACTTATTAATTTCAACAAACAGTAGGTTTAAACATTCTTTTGGCTAAGATCTCGAAATGCTCAGATGTCTTGCGAATGTGAATTTATAAGAAGTATCAAAATCCATTTTATGATTCATCTCTGGAGTTTGCCTTGAACTAGCTGAAGTTCTTCACGTTGATAACATATGCTCAGTGGAGTAGTCTCTGCTATGTCAGAATGCACCGTGGTTTGTTATGGCGTACGTATCTCACTGGCATTGTCGTTGTCTAGATGTCTTTCGAATGTGTTACTAAATAATTCAGCTGTCGCTAGATTACTCAGACTTTTACTTCCCTGGTACCTTACAACACACACTTTTTGGCCATAACTCTCCCTCTCTGAGCCATGAATCAGTTTTGATTCTTGAATTCGTGACAGGGTTTACCAGCAATGTCACCCTCTCTTTTGGAACCTTAATTTTATGTCGATTTCTTAGGGTTAAGTATGTTCTATGGTATGACTGCCACCTACCTAAGAGTTTTCACTTGTATCATGTCCTTCTTTCGTCCACAAAGATTCTCTCGTTGACCTCTGCTTCTCAAGGTTACAGTTATTACAAGTATGAAACCATTGGTGGACTTCTTAATAACAACATTCGTTCACCCCCATTCCTGTTCCACCGTTATTATGTGCTACTCTCATGTCCGATCCCAGAGATTTTCTCATATTCTCAAAGTGTTGACTAAGAGGATTATTCTTAGTTAATTGTTCTTTATTAACTAACAATTACATTAAGAGCCATCACTTTATTCCAGATGATAGTTTTTATAAAGAATGGAATTCTCAGCACTGAACATATTGCAACAGTTTATTTCCATTACAAATAAACCAAATATTAACGATAATAAAACTGAAGTTAGTGGAAGGATGATTTATGTAATAATAATTATAATAATAATAATAGTAATAATAGTAATATGTGGCTGCTTATTTGCAGATCATAATGTAGATTTATAAGCTATTTACTGATATTTGTCTCCCCAAAACAACACTCGCACTAAATACATGGTGGACTTTAGACAGCTGGTGAACGATAATTCTTATGATACTTTTGGTTTTCCCAAAAGAGACATATGGTGAAAGTTGCAAACAAAGAGTTCAGTATCCGACAAGATATATTTAGCCAATTGCTTGCACGAATTAAAATGTCTGTCAATAACAGTGTCAATTCATTGAGCCAAAGGCACACCACTATCCCTGCTTCCACGTTTCATAGTCTTACTTAATATAACATTTTTTTTCCAGAAACTGAGGGAAAAATAAGAGGGGACAAAAAAGAACAGTGGGTAGAATATATGAATTAACAAATACTGAGAGAACGACTTAATACAGAAACTACTAGGACAGAAACTGTCAGACCATCAGCATATTTCGTGATATTGGCTTCTCCGCAAACATGGAGCAGAACACCACTAGGTTTGGTTAATGAAAGGTGAGCACAGGACGACGAAGTCTTCAATTTGTGAACACCTTCTGGGGTCAGATCATTCAGCCCCATTTGACTTATCCTTCAGAGAACCAGATCCAACCACTCCGAAAGTGTACGTTTATCCCACATAAGAATTTAGCTAGATGTAGAATGATTCATCCTGTTAAGTTAAATGACCTAGAAGAAAGCTCAGCCATTGCATTCACTTGCATGGGATCATAAAATAGGGTGGGACAGGGTGAAACTATTAAAACGCAATATAGTTTGGTGGAGAGAGAGGTTAGTCACTGAAGTTGTGTTTATCAATTCAACACCACATATGTGCAATCGACATGATGCAACGCCTATACCAGAGATATGAAGAGTGGCAAAAAGCAACAAGGAGAGAAGGAGAAATTATATAAGGCAAATTATGAAGCCGTGTGACTAAACTGATATGATTATGAGCAATAAGTTATGCTCGGAAAGTCATCCAGTTATTAATGCATTAATGAACTTATTTTATATGTTAGAAGCTTTACCTCCTTCGAATTATCAGTAGTTTTAGTCTTGAAGAATCATGCATTAAGGATTTTTGTGAGAGGTTGACACGTCTTATCTGAATCCTAGGTCCTGATGATGAACTGAAGATTTTACTTGAAAAATATCTTAAAAGGTTCGTTTAACAATATCTGAAAAATACCCATTTATTTTGCTAGAGGTGCATAGTGTAGCCATATTTGCTTGCTGCCTAAGAAGTAATTTATCTTAGACATTTACATTACAACAAACATCAACTGGAATTTGTGGTTTGCTAGTAAGTTGGTCAAATAGATTCCAAATATTAGAAGGATCTTTATGCGATAAAAAATCTCGACATATTACATTCAGTCTTTGTATTTCATACTTTATTGAAGACTTAAGTTTTCAAACACCACTATTATAGCGCGATTTCTTTAAGTTCTTTTTTTCGTTGCGGGGATGAGACTGTATCCGATCTCACAAACTGTGTTTCAGTAGAATAGAAAATTTTCATGTAGAACCCCGGTTATCACGTGATATCAGAGATGGTGACATCAAATGTTTCATCGACTAATATGTCCCAGTTTGTATCCTGCAATATGCTTCTAAATGGATGAATATTATGATGTGAGTATAATCGTTCTTGAACCTTCTCTTGCTTAATTTGCCATACACTTGGTAAAACACTAATAATGCAGTGGTCAGAATTTAGCCAAGGCAGCGTTTCTATGGGCTTCATATATACTACAGTCACTTATAAAAATCAAGTCTTGTCCAAACGAATATTGAACCTGACAAGGTTTTCATGACCAAAAGATGTGATCGCAAGAAATAAAATCCCCACAGACTATAGACAAAGAATTTATGATATATATATATATATATATATATATATATGTGCACTGCCATCACATCCGCCAGAAGCCTCTTCACTTCTGAAAAGGGAACTGATATTTAAAATAGAACGAATACTAAATTATCGCAGTCAGCAACCTTCTTAGAGGAACTAGGATTGTGGTCAGTTTCGCGCCTAATGAGTGATTCAATGTACAGATCACTGATAGGACTCTTAGAAAACCCATATATCTGCATCCGATTGCAGCGTGTATAGATTGATGAATTCCCTGGTTGAATCCTAAAGGACCATTAAATTAACAGTATCAATAAACATTTGATTTACGTGATATGGTCTTCAGTCAAATGCAGCCTTAAGCAGTTAGTATGCAAACTGATTTTCAGTGTCGGAGGCCTGCTGTGCAACACTATATTTGATAACATCAAAGATTGTTCGAATAAGTCTGCAGGGTTCATATACAGCCTAATTAATGACCTTTCACCTCTAAAATATGTGACGAATCCCGGTTTGTTGAGGGCTCTGACATCACTTTCCGGTGGATAAGAAGTGAATTCCGTATTTCTGTACTTCAGTCTTCGATTAATAATATCAACAGTGATATTTGTTCCAGTTGTTGGTGCCGAAGGTGCTATGAACTTTCTTAGGTGATACACCTGTTGTACATTTCTCTGTGCTGCCTGCATAAAAGTGGTATAACCGGAATATGCAGAGCATCTAATCCTAATTAATGTCAGTAAAAATTTTGAGCATTGTGGAATAGACCAAATATAATGATACTTTATTTGACCTAGTCCTAAGTATATAAGATCCAAATGGAAGTTCTGCGAAGCTTTCTAATTGCCCTTGCTTTCGAATATCCTCTGTTAGGCGCTTCAGACAACGAATATTGTAAACTGTGTTGTGTGTTGTAAAGTTCCTCAGATTCTAGTACGAAGTTAGTCAATTCGGCTCCTTCTATAAGGTGACGGTATAATTCCCTATTGGATAAGACAGACACTGCTAAACTAAAATGATGGAAGTTATTGTATATACTAGGTACCATCATGCCCCTCATTATAGCAGGTCTAATATACAGCGAGAGAAGGCAATATTCAGTGACCTTCAAAAACCCCTACACTTTCATTGAAAGTTTATCGGTGCGAAGCTGGAGCATCCAAAAGTCTTTTCGAACTTGAGTGTTTCCCCTGGCTTTTAACTAGTGCTTGCCAAAGTACTATCAGATTCTTCATTATGGTTGGAAATAAAACGTGCATGTGATCTAGTGGAAAATAAGTAATATCTACAGACAAATCCTCAAAACCAGATATTGTACAGTGATGTATATATGTAGGTTGTCGTTGACTACGGAAGTTTTCATTAGTCCTAAGATTGTAAAGTCCTCAGTTCTCAATAATGTCCTCCCTTTCATCTAAATAACTACTATGCATTTCTCGCTAATAGCAATCTCAGTATGGCCTACAGTTGTCTTGATATCGGCGATAGCTAGTACATCACAAATAACAGCAAGTCGAACAGAAATGCATTTTAGATTTATTGGTTGGAGATAGTAGGCTTGAAGCCTATGTTAATCCTTTTTCTAGTAAATTTCTGCGGTTTTCCAAACCCTTCTTGAGTGAATCAGTTGAGGTTGCAGACACCACTTCTTCGAGTAGTCGGTTCCAAGAGTTTATGACTCGGTGTGAGAACTAGTACTCCACAGCAGTATGGTTTCTCCTTGGCTTATGAACTCTCCTGCTATATCCTCTAAGATGTTCCTACCTGGTGGGAATGAAAAGAGAG